GGAGGTGATAGGGTTTGCATGACGATTGCTGGAGTTGCCCTAAAATGCATGGTTACCTTTTTACGCACCATTTTTAAAGGGCCATCGTGTATGTTACCACATGAAAAGATGACATGCCCTGTGTCGGGGGAAGATGACAACTTCCTTGATGGGCTTTTTCTGTTTGTAATGTTACAAAACAACTTGTATGGAATTGTTAGATGAAAAAGGTGCTTGCTTTTTTAAGCCTTGGCTTTTTCCTGCAATGTCCACCCCCACTAATATAATTGGATGTATTGGTCTATTCATCTATTTTTATCACCAATGTGAAGAAGCTTCTAACCATAGACATATATGTGTATATGGTTGGGATATGAGATAATTAAGAAATTCAAGAAACATTTTAGTAAAAGAGATTACTGTTGATATATATGAATATATCATATCAAGGGAATGAGACAAGAAACCCTTGGAAATCGGCTATTTAAATTGATTGACGACTAATGAGTTGAGATGTGTGGTTTTTAAGAGATGGAAGAAATTAGGGAACCAGGTAAGGGCTGGGCGATCACGGATCACGAGTGACAATTGCTTGCTAAGAGGGTCATGTTCATGAATGAAACGTCTTTATTGCCTGCGGGACCAACTGCCAGTCCCTTCACTGAGACGATGCCTCCGCAAAATTCCACAGCGAGTCATAAAAATTTTCTTCCGTGATACAGTCACAATAAAAACCAATGGCAAACCTACAAATTATGCATTGTCAATCACGTGCAGTGCATAGACAAAGAGAGAAGACACGAAGTGAAAGAATATACTGCTACTACATACATACACATCTGATAATTTGATTGTTTATTTATTCACGAATCAAACACAACACGCTTGAAAGGCCCCAAAGACCTTCGTATATGTTAGGCCAAACGCTGGCCATGAAAGAGTATTCTTTCTCATCTGAGGGAAAATTTCAATTAAAAAATTAAAAATAAAAATAAAAACAAAAGTATACACACATGTGACCCTCACACGCATGAACACCATTGGAAAAGGTCCAGTATTGGTTAGGCCATAGGTCAAGGCCATCAGAAGAAGAGGCATTTCCCGCCAAAAAAGCACACACACACACGTGCGTGCCACACATGCCAAATGCGTGTGCACACAAACCACTCAAATGAAAATGAAGGCTATAAAGAAAGGAGCCGAGCCATATTCCATATTTATTGTTCCTTTTTCATCCAGTATTTGTGCGCTGTCAATAGTACTCAATGGAGAGAAGAAGCAGATGTTGAAGCAATGATAGTGGGCTAGATGGGGAACCTTGACTTTAATACTTCTCATTTCCTCCGGATGAACTTCAACGTTCAATCCCTAACTCCGCCGAACCATCTCAGAAATTTTCTCCCCTCTTTTCTCTATCCCTCTGCCTGCTGCCTGGGGGACCCGCCATCTCCTCCCCCTTTCATTCAATAATCAATGCAGGCTTTGAATTTAATCCCCCGCCCCGCCCCACCCCCCCACTTCTTCCACACTCCATGACTCCCACTATATTAAACATGGCTTTTCCCTGTCTTTCCCTAACTTTCTCACACAAATACATTTATGTAAACAAATCCCCACTCCCTTGGGAATCTGCAAAGCCATTAATGAATTAATGGCAATGCCCACCAACGAAAAAATTAATAAATCTCCAAACTCACCAAACTCTTTCATACATACAAATATATATATATATATATATATATACTAAATAATCTACATCACTCAAGTCAATTTACTCTTTCAAAACCCTCCCAAAAAATATCGAGGTTTCTAGACATCTTGGGCCACCCATATTTGTTTTCTTTTTTCTCCCCCCGCCTTTTTCTTTATTATTTCCCCCCTCCCCTTACTCGGAGTTTCCTTTGTCATCATCTACCCACAAGCAGCTATTTAGTTTTCTCCTTTTATAAGAAGGTGATGAGGAAGATGAGGATGATGACTCACTGGATCTCATTCTGCCCCTGATTGTTACCCGAAGCTGTGGTAAGATCTTTGGTGCTTTCCTCCTGGCATTGTCAAGCACAAGTTCTTGCATTAACCGGTAGCAGCTAAGGATTTTCTCCTGCAAAAATTAGATATTTTTCCAAGTTGGCATACTAGTTTCTTGTTAATCATACGCCCAAGCATTAACTGAGAATTGCATTTACATACTGAGCTTACTTTGCTTAGTCCATCACACCATGACTCAGCATGTTCAGGATTAACAAGAGACAAGTTTGGAATTTCATTGGCTGCACATAGTATCGCTGCAGCAGCAATGCTTGACGGCCAATACTCTAGAAAGCTGGCCTCTGTTGACATTAGCAAACAAGTTTTTATTTGAACTGATTATTATAATCCTTGCGTTTTTTTTCTTTATGTTTACGCGTACAAATGTTGCTTATATGTGCATGTATATATATCAACCGACAGAAAGGGAATAAAATTCATTCGCATCTACAATACCTTTGATATTGGATAAAATGATGTCCGTTGCCCTTGAGATCAGAAACCCAATAAAAGTTCCTGTTCGATCGAGCTTGCAAGCAAAGAAAGCAATGAAACTGAATGGCGTTACTGATCGTAGCCTCCAATCCAAAACCGTGAGCACAAGCAGCTCCATCCTGCGGATTGTTTTTGGTTCAAAAATATATTTGGCACCCTCTACCTGCATGTATAGCATTATGTTGAAATTACACTAATGATCATTGAAAAGGAAAAATAGAACTAGCAATGATTTTAATTAAAAAGAAATATACCTGAAGATCTAAGAGAGATGGAACAAGAGGTTCCTCCATCTTAGCCGCTAGCGACAAGCAAGCAACAGATAAAAGTTGCAATTGCCACCCACTATTTTGCTGAAAAGCAAAAGATCAAAAAAAACAAAAAGATACATCACATTAATTGTTAATCACCACAAATCATCATCCCATTAATAATAGTAGTACCAAAAATAATGACTATCTAACACATGTAGATATGAACTTTTTTGTGGAATTATTAACGTAAATTCCGGGCACATTTACTCAGCTCATTAGAAAAGGTACCAACCATCCATCAAAACAACAAGAATAATCTAGTAAAACTCTATTCAGAGTATATACCATCATATATAAAAGAAATAGTACGACCTACCAATTTTAAAAAAGCGCTTTATAAATACACTTAAATAAAAGTCTCACACTGTAGTTAACGCATAGGCAAGCCACTTTTTTTTTT